TTAATTTTGTCCTTGATTTTTTTTTAGGGGAGTGAGGAAAATTTTACCCCGAGGGAACATTTTAAATGAAGAAAGTAATCGAATTCTGGTATTTAAGCATTTTTGTATTTTGATTTGAAGAATTCTCTAAGACTAAACACTCGTATATTGGAGACGTCCCTTACCTAAAACAGATACTCTGTAGGTTCCATGAATCTGTCACTATCAGTCCCCTTCATTGGTTCGAAACAATGCCAGCGCCCCATCCTCGCAATTCGCATGAACCTGACCCGGTAAAGCTTCCAACTTTGCATATTTTTATTAAATGCACTTTGTCCCACATCGGTTGCTAATAATTGTCTAGAAGTTTTCTTCATAGCGTCCGAGCGAACAAAGGGCACGACCTTACTTGAACAGGATCTGTTCTATAGGTTCGTACCTCTGTATCCTTGAGTTCTAAGGAGACAGGAATCAAAGTCTGGTGGATGAAATCGGACCGTGTAAGATCAGAGCGTGATTAATTGCCTTAGGATCTCAGGATTCGAGTTTCCACGGGCTGTAGAGGATCGTTCTCAGCCTTGGCTGGGATGGTCGCACGGTTGTCTGACAGATTTCTCCTTTTTCCTTTTCTCTATTTTAATTAAAATTAAATCATTTTTTGTTAATTAATGTAAAACCAAGTATGATTGAGGTCAATTAAGCGGTCTAGACCGGTGTGGATAGATTTAATAATTTTTCTAAATTATTAATTATTTATTAAAATAATAATAATGGATTGTTATTTAAATAAATATGAAACATTTTCTAGTAGATTAATTTCCTAAAATGTTTATTAATTATTTAGTTGAATAATAATAATGGACTATTGTTTAAATAGTTTTGGAGATTATTTTTTTATATATTAATTTCTTAATTTTTTATTATTATTTATTTAAAAAATTATGGATTATTAATTAAAAAATTTCCCTGAATTATTTGATAATTGTTAACTATAATTATTTATTTTATAGAAGGGAGGAGGAGAGAGAGAGAGAGAGTATTAGTGTGGGCGTCGTCTGTTCAACTATAAATGGCTCTCATGCTAGCTATTGCACTCTGAATTCAATTGTTTCTGTTGCTCTGTTGCTCTGTCCCATTAGAGAAGTCGAAAAGGTCGTCCACAAAAAATCATCCCTTGCAACACCATTTGCACCATTAACATACCATTCATCACCCCAAGACACTTGTTGGTTAAATTTCAAAGCCATCTGCAGTAACAGACTAGTTTTCAACGCCCTCGCTCCAGTACACTCCATTTCTGGTTTTACCTACAAGCGAATAAAACCCATAAGAAAGAAAGTTCCAACATGGAACAGTTTCAAATAATATTCCTACAAGTTATTCTTCCTTAATTCAATTAAAAGGGTACCTGGAAAGACGATGATGGAGGGTAAGAGGAGGGAACTGCAATCCAACAGCTTGGATCAAGCAAGGGAGGTGAGCACTAAATCAGATCTAATTTTTCTTGCAAAAATCAGAATCATAATTGATCTCTATCAATTCAAGAATGGAGATCGAATTAGGATTATGTGTAAACCTAGAGTAGTTCGCCCTCTTCTATTTATATAGCTTAAAGAATCGCACTCCTAATCCAATTAAGCTTCCTGATCCAAATCTTTATTTGGATCTGTACTCTTTAAGTGGATAAGACTTATCTTCTTATCCTTATCTACTGATCCAAACTCATATCCTTATCCAATCTTTGGGCTTCAGGCCCATTAAAGAGGTGGCTCATGTCCCTTATTAATTGTTGGCTAATTTGGCTCTTTTTGTATGGCGTGGAACCCTAACATTGATCTCACAAAAGCCATATGGGCTCAGCCTAGCTTTTATAGCAAAGCCTGGGCGAATTCACTGCTAAACACAGTGAACCCCTAAGTTCATCAGTATGGGCTCTTAATGGGCCCAACATTTACACTAAATGGTCATTGAGTCCTACCATCTTATGAAGGCCCAAAGACTATGGCCTTAAGTGAGATTAGTTCATTAGGTATAAAAGCCCTAAATGGTCTTACACTTAACCTCTCAGCCCTTAATGATCAAACACTGTCCGACAAGATAGGACCACTCCCTCGGCTACAAGGTATAGTGTTGCACTCTTTGCTCGGATGGATCCCGGAAATTAAAACCTATTGCAAACATTTTCATAATATATATATATATATATATATATATATATATATTCATATAAATATATTTTGCAAAACAAATCTCAAACAAGTTTGAAAATGACTACCGACAGTTTTGGTTTCCATCAAAGAGAGTGTAGTTTCCGATCATTCACTTTGTCCGACAAAGGGGCTGATCCTGTCACTATGATCACCCACTCGAGTGAATTCTCAGACTGCTCCAACATACTTGGGTTTTGACCACCAAAGGATCTCACTGATTGACATATCAAAGACAGCCTAATCCGACACCCAGTGTAGTACCATAATCGAGTCTAGGGGTTAGGTGTAATTTTCCAATTTTGCCCACTAGTCTCCAAGGTCTAGGGCATAATTGGAAAATGGTCTGGGTTCAGTGTTTTAAGCAAACACACACTACATGTGCTTCGGGTCTAATCTTGGCAACTAAGACAAGCTACTCCAACCGACTTGGCAGCACATTAGTATCAGCCTTGGCAGAATAAACCTCCCTAGGTTTATCCAACGGCTATGAACATTCTAAACTAACATGAGTATCATAAATGTCCAATTTAAGGGTAATTACATAGAAACACACCAAGTATAACATGAATCAATTATGTACTTTTATTCATTTACAATAAACGTCTAATGTACATCAATTTGATTTGAGCTAAGGTCATACACTGTCTAACACCCTAACCCACCCATATTAATCCACTTGACCCATCCATATTGACCCTTAACCACCCTCACTCATACTAACCCACCTATCCTCACTTATAAATACAAAAATGGGTTAGGATGGCCCGTATGCCCAAAATAATACATTTTGAGAGAATAATCTCCCTCAATATTGTCACGTGACAAAAATGAGTCAAGTCAACCTGTATACCCAAAAAATGCAAAAATTGTAGATAAATGCAGAAAATGCAAAAAAAAAACCAACAAATTGTAGAAAAATATAAAAAATATAAAAAAACTAAAAAATTGTAGAACATTCAAAACTTTTGTAGAAAAAATTAGAAAATATGCAAAAAAACTAGAAAAATGTAGGAAATGCATGAAAAACACAAAAAAAATGCAAAATTATGCAGAAAAGCACAAAAAATTGTAAAAATATGCAAAAAATGCAAAATTTTATAAAAGTGATTTTGCAAAAGTACTTTTATGAAAGTACTACAAAAGTACTTCTATAAAAGTGCTTTCAAAAAAGTACTTTTATAAAAGTGCTTGTGTAAAAGTGCTTTTGTAAAAGTACTTTTATAAAAGTGATTTTATGCTTTCATAAAAGTGTTTTCGTAAAAGTACTTTCATAAAAGTGCTTTTGTAAAAGTACTTTTGTAAAAGCACTTTCGTAAAAGTGCTTTCATTTAAAAGTGATTTCGTAAATATTTTCATAAAATTGCTGTTGTATAAAATTGCATGTGAACACGAAAGTTAATAAAATCTATTTTATTTCACCTTTAATCTCAAAATGAAATGTGGCATGGTGGTTTGGAAGTGTAATGAGATGTGGCCATATGCTAGAAGGCATGAGTTTGAATCACTACAACTTGTAATTTTTGAGATTTGGCGAATAGTATAGAGGTGTAAAGTGGTCGGCATGGCACAACCAACAGGCATCCCACGGGTCAACAAGCTTTTTATAATTCATAGGAAACTTCAAGCTCTCCCTTAACTCTTAAAAAAAAAAAAACTCTCCCTTAACTCTTTGTTTCTCACTTATTTTTTTTAGCATAGCCCTAGGGTGTTTGGCAATGTGTATCATTAGGAGTGTCAATGGGTCGGATTAGGTGGTTAACTCACATGTACTTGGACAGAGTCATGCTTAATCAGGTCTTGGTTAGGTTTGGCTTAAGATGAGCCTATGTTGAATATGTTGACATGCAATACATATTTTAATACCATTAGCCTTGTTTGAGTACAGTGGGATTGAAATAGGTCAAGTTAGGTTTAGGGTCATCAAGGAACATGTCAGATTATAGTAGAATTCATAGACATTTTGAAGCATCCGTGCATATTTGAGATGCTAATCCAATTTCACTATTATTTTTCAAAATAAAGAACAAGTAAATTATTAATTACTTTTAAATTATATGTAATATCAATAAATTTATATAAATATGAAATGCCGAGTTTTAAACTACATGTTAAATTGAAACATACATTAATAATGAGTTTTGGAACATATATTAATATATAATAATAACCTATATGTTAAATTATTCAGTTTAATAAATAAAGATAATATGAGTTTTAAACTACATATTATTATTATTGAAAATCATGTTTTTAAAGAATATCTACCCTCCATTTTGTTGGAAGAAAGTAAAGAAAGAACAATTTCCATAAATAGACCTTAAAACTAACCTCATAACCACCAAGAACAAAAGTGACCCTAGAACCTCTAACTGACTCTTACAAGATAAGTTCGAATTCCAAAAACTAGAACCAAACCAAACTAACCCATACTCATCCCTATTTTTTTTTAATCTTGACATATCAATTTGCAAGGGAGAATTGGTTAAAAAGGTCAATCCGTTCCAAACACCACTTTTTCAAAATTGGGTAAACTAAGGGTTTTTGGAGTTTTTCGTACAAAATTTCTAGTTAGAAGAGGAATATATTTCGATAACTAGCTTTCAATAATTCAAAGGGATCCGTGGCGCAATGGTAGCGCGTCTGACTCCAGATCAGAAGGTTGCGTGTTCGATTCACGTCGGGTTCAAACCCTTCATTTGGTCCTGCTTTTTTGAAAAATTAACTTAGATATCATATTTGAAATACCGGAAAGACCCTGCTCAATTCATCAAATACCAGAACTACCCTCTAACATAAATTTCTTCGTCGGGGCTGACGAGAGATTTCAGACCTAACCTAACTCCAAGCCCCAGGTCTTCCTTCCCTCTACCCTGCAGCAGCTCTGTAAGTTGGTGTGAAGTCACAGAGAACAAGTGGAGTTGATTGGGAGATATGGAGCATCAGCAACAACATGAAGATGAGCAGAACGAGCAAGAAGAGCAGGAGCATGAAGTTTATGGTGGAGAAATTCCCGACGACGGAGACATGGACGCCGACGTCGAAATGTCCAGAGCCGAGGACGAGGATCCTAATTCTAGGGAGGTATCCTCTCTTTTTTTCCTCTCTGTGTTATTCTGAAACCCTATTTTTTTTCCCTCTTGTTTGTTCCTCTTTCATCTTCTCTCATTCGCTTGCCCTAATTTTTCTCCCAACTACCTTCAGTGGCGAAGAAAAAGCGGTTGGAAACCCTATTCAAATTATAAGCATCTGATGTTTCGTGTGTGTGCAGAACCTGGAAGCTATGAAGAAGAGACTCAAGGAGATAGAGGAAGAAGCTGGTGCTCTTCGCGAGATGCAAGCCAAAGTCGAGAAGGAAATGGGTGCCGTTCAAGGTAATTTACCTCCTTATCTCCTGTTTCAGTAGCCACGTTTTAGTCAACCAAATATTGTGCTTCAATATTAGGGAAAATTTAGGAAAGACACATTTATTATTTGTTAGTTTGCATTATATAGATGTTAGCAGCCTTGTGAATGTAGATGTTGTACCTGTGTGGAGGCTTTGTTGGGGGTTTTTCCCCCCTCCAGTATAGTTTCGTATAAATCATCTCGCTTCACCCCTTCCCCCTCTTCTGTTGTTTATTATCAGATAAATATTACTGCTTAAGATGAGTTAAGTTTTTGGATCTCCGATTGGTGGAGTTTCTTTGATGTATTACCTTACCAATGGAGATTGTTTTCAAATAAATTTATCTGTTCTTATTGGTACCTTTTTCTTCCCCAGAAACCAATCCCCTGTGTTAGGCTTTTACTCCTTGGTTGCTGATGTTTTATTTTTAGTATACCGCTGATGTATATACCTTCAGCCTTATTGTATAATAAATAATTTTGGTTTCAACGATATGCATTTAACATCATGAAGTTAAACTGGATCTACTATGAAGCCCAATTGAACTTGTAAGAATCTTAGGATTAGACTTGCTTTAACAAATAATGAAGTCGGAGCATCAAACATGATGCACATGAAAGTAAGTGTTAGACAATGATCTGCAAAGGCATGAATTTGAAGACATTAAGAAAGGCCATTACCCAATGTCAGTCCCAGTCTTGGGAGGGATGGACTGGAGATAAACCTAACTTTTGTTTGTTTTTTTTTTTTTAAACCCACAAAGTGGCTTCTCTCAGACTCGAACATACTTCTCATGCTTGTTATCCTGAGATTTTAACATTAGAGAAATGAATTATTTTGTAAATTTTAACATTCTTATACCTATAGAATGGAATTTATAGTGTAAGCTAGCTTCTATTTTTTTTTTTTCAAAACTTATGCATGGAGAACAAATAAAATGCATGGGTTGCTCATAAATCTGTTGGTCCAGTTGTATCTGATGTGTATACTTCACTGCTTAATGAAGTCCGTTCATTTATAATTTAAATTTTCCTTAGAAAATAAAGAAATATAGAGAATCTTAAGCATTGCAGAATTTTTCTAATATGCTAGTTTCATGTCTTAACCATTGGGATACTATGAGGTTCCAAAGCCTTCGTTACCTTCATCTTCTTTAAGGTTTCATTATCTTTTGAAGCCCTAATTTGAATTTTCCCTCTGCATCCTATTTTTCTTTTGCTTTTAATTTGCCCTTAAGGCTTCTATTAACTTTTCCTTCTATCTTATTTTTCATATTTTAATGCAAACTTCTAAAACCATCAACTTATGTTGTGTTGTCAGGCTTTTGTTTGGGATAACCTTACAATCTTTATATATTATCCCTTCTGATCTTCTAGTTAGAAAATAATCTTTTAGTAGTGAAAATTTAGCACTACCATAAAAAATGCCTTTACCACTTATAAGCCTCATTTGATCAATTGATTATTCTTGATTTTGTCCTTGTAATGTATAAATTTTTACATAACTGGAAGTTTTGTCTGAAGGAATTGGTGCTCACTTGATTATCTGTTTTATCATTTATTTTAAATCACATAAACTTTTGGACAGATAATCTATGAATCATCGTCATCGTCATCGTTATCATCATCATTGTCACCATCATTTCTAATGTATGAATCCTTTTCAAAACATAAAAAAGTGTGAATCAGCAAATATTACATGCTTGTTTAGAAATTATGTTTTCCTTGCATTTTTATAATCATACTACATAATTATATGATTCATGGCATTCAAAAACACTTGGACAAAGTATGTGCTGCTACTGACTTTTGTCTCATAGAGTTAAACTTTTTTGTTCTCTTTTTACATGAACTGTTATGTTTAACATAATCTTTTTTGTTTATTGAATCATGTATAAAGATCCCTCTAGTGCTGCTGCAATCCAAGCTGAAAAAGAGGAGGTGGATTCACGTTCAATATATGTTGGTAATGTGAGGTTTTACAATCCTTTTATCTTATTCTTATTTAATTGTTTTTGTATTTCTGTCTTTGGCTTTATCCATCTTTTGTATAACTTTTGAGTTTTCGATTCCCTTATATTGTGCATGCCCTTTTCCTTATTGATCTTTTACTTCAAGCAAGATTTTTTGTAGTATTTAGATGATCTTAAGTCATTCAGTAGGTGGGTTTTTTAGGGGCGCATTTGTTTCATTTTACCAAAAATGGAAGCTTTTTTTCCAAAGAAACAAGAAGAATGAGAAATATGTTTGTTTGGTTTCATGAGTATTATATTACAGTACTATAATAGATAATGTGTTTTTAATATAATAATAAATTATATAATATATTTATACCATATTATTATATATTTTGTATAATTCCTGAAATGAATTGTTTATTGCCCAAACTTGTTAAGTGCAGCATGGCTTTTGGGTATACTGCATTTGGGCAAGAAACGGCCAGAAATGAGCTTCTGGCAGTGAGCAACCAGGGCTAATGGCTTTGAAATGACTGATCTTGGTAGCAGTGATCATTGCTCAAACGTTGGACAAGTATAATGGCCTGTATGATGACAGATGAGGTTGCTGAACTGAATGACTTGCTGCTTTGTCTTTTAGTGGTTTAAGTAATTAAACAAAAAATATTCAAGGGTATAGTATCTTACCCAGTTTCAGCCATTAAGGAACCCCAACCTCCTAAAAATCTTATTCACTAAAAGACAAACCAATAAGATTTTCAATTCAACCACTTCAGCTGTTATCAAATGCCCAATTTCCCCTTTTTCTTTCCTTTTTAGGCGTGATGGAATTAGGTGGGCACCTAGGTGTTGCCTACCAATAAAATTTTATAAAAGAGCAACCTAAATTTCGGTTAGTTCCCTAGTTTTAGATACCAACCAAAATGCATATTAATTGAAAATAGCAATTCTCTTTATTAAAAGCATTATGTTTCCTTTCAAAACATGGCAGATCTTCATATCTAAAAGCCAATAGTATTAATTTCAACATTTTCATTGATAAAAATAATTCCAATATTTCAAAAACAATACTAATATAATATTGTATTTAATGAAGTCATTTATATCAAATTAGCAACTACTATTGATCAAGGTGACTCAGTGAGAGCTAAATTTTTAGCTGCTATTGTTGGGGGCAAAAAGCTAAGGATATGGGAATTACTAGGCTGATTCTTGAAGGGGACTCAAAAATAGTTATTTTTTTTATAAATACTCAAAAATAGTAATTGGTTGTTTGAGAAAAGGAGAAGGGGTTCTATGACAATTCAAAAGATCCAAGAAATATGCAAATGCAAGTAAGATGGGTTAGGAGGTCTGCAAATGGGTTGGCCAAGCAAGGAACCCATAGACAGCATTTGTTTTGGGCTCAATGTTAAATGCGTGGGGGATCTTTTCTGTAAAGGGTCTTTGACCTAACAACTTCTTGTTGTACCTTTTATTCCTTAATCTTAATAAAATTTTCTTGAGTTGCTGATAAAAAAAGCAACTAAAGATGACTATGATTTCTTAATAGAAATTCAATTTAGAGTGTAAGTAAAAGAGAAAAAGGAAAATGGTGGAGCCACAGTTATATTTAGGCTATGTACCAGTGCACATTAAAATTACTAACACATATTAGTACAGATGTTGCCATTGGTAATGATATTATTATGATAAGATGCCTGCCTTGTGATTTTTGTCACCCAGTCAGGCACCTATTCAGCTAGGCAATGCCTTGATAGTTGTGATTTGTTTTGATTTCAATGTGTCAAAAACTTTAAATTTAAAATGTTTAAAGACTCTTTTTTATGTTTTTTTAGTATACTACTATCTTATTGGAAACAGAGTACCCACCCCTGCTCAACACATGTACATGCAAGAAGGAATAAGGAACTCTTGAATCTTAATGCAGTACGAGAAATTTAACATGATAAATGTGGTGCTGGTACAAAAGTATTGAAGTTTGTTAGACTATTGGTTTCTCATATTCATTTTTCAGTGAGGTGTTTCCCCTTGATCTTTTACCCAGTTAGGTGTCTGAGGCATTAGTAATTTATCTTATGTATAAGGACTACTATGCTCGCGTAGTTTATCATTTAGTCTTACAAAGTTTGAATATTTTAGTAAAATATCCTTTCTACTTCTATACTGAACAAATATTTCGTGAATGCCAGGCAAGAAGGGTTCCCACAAGGACTTGATAATTAGTTCTAGCTTTGTGGTCRCCCTCGTTGGGGTCTGGTTTCTTCTCAGTGAGGAGAGGCTGTAATGGCTTTATTGTTTGCATGGTAATTGACCAGTTATTTCGTGAATGCCAGGCAAGAAGGGTTCCCACAAGGACTTGATAATTAGTTCTAGCTTTGTGGTCACCCTCGTTGGGGTCTGGTTTCTTCTCAGTGAGGAGAGGCTGTAATGGCTTTATTGTTTGCATGGTAATTGGCCAGTTCTATCCTAATAAGGTGGGGGAAGAATGGTGAAATAAAGTCTGATAAATCTCAACCTGTTTTTCTCAGTGAGCAATTCATCCATTCTTAAGCTGAGTTTTGATTTTTAATGTTTCTATGCACCTCTGCACATATAACCAGTTTGGAGCCTACTGAAACAAAATCAAAGATTTGCATTACATTTAAACCCACATCTTCACTATATTAAATGGATTCAGTTAGGTAACTTTTAAACCAAAAACAAGTCTTTTCCAATTGAAGTTGAAATTACCCCATGATAAATTATATTAACAATTGGGAATGTATCCTTTATATATGGCAAATTGTGCTGTTAGATGAAATGGAAAACTACAGTGCAATCATTTTATTTCTCATGTGATGTCCGCTGAAGTTATGAGATAAACCAATAAATCGATACCTGGATGGATTTCTATCTTTGAATTCAAATAGTTTGTCTAGTTCACTTTAGTGTAAGTATGAAACTGAAGTGGAAATCAACACTTAATAACTATACTTCATGAGAAAACGTCCAGGTTGTCATATTCCTTTTGTTCCTTTAACTGGTGAATTGGGTATTTACATCTCTTTTTAGCAATTTGTGCCGTCTTTTCTTTTTCCCTTTTTTAATGTATGTGTTTTAAATAAACAATGCCAGCTTTTTTAAGTTTTTACAGTACGCAATTATTATATAGTAAATCTCACCTTTATCTCTTATTTACTGTTTGGTACTTCAGGTAGACTATGCATGTACTCCCGAGGAAGTCCAGCAGCATTTCCAATCATGTGGAACCGTGAACAGAGTGACAATTTTGACGGACAAATATGGTCAGCCGAAAGGTTTTGCTTATGTTGAATTTGTTGAAACTGATGCTGTTCAAAATGCTCTCCTGTTAAATGAGTCGGAGTTGCATGGTCGTCAGTTGAAGGTCCTTGAATTTATTAACTAATAGAACACCCCTTTACCTGCAATTTACTATTTAAATATTGAACACCTTTTTGGGCATACTTTGGTTATTCTACAGGTATCTGCTAAGCGGACCAACATTCCTGGAATGAAGCAGTACCGAGGAAGGCGGCCCAATCCATATCTTGGCTTCCGAGGCCGAAGACCGCTCATGCCGGGTCCCCCCTTCTTTCCTTCTTATGGATACGGGTAAATATTGAAATTTCATGTTGAAGTCTTTTACGTCAAGTTTTCTGTTTTGAAATTATGAAGGGAAATTGCGCTGTCAACCAAGGCTAATGATCTTTTAGTATACACAACTCATAATATCCATTGGCCATTGCTTAATGTAATGGTAAAATCTCAGACTGACAAGTGTGGTATGAAAGCTGCCATCCTGTACAAAAAAAAAGTGCCAAACGTTAGGCCTGTATCCACTCCACAGTCCCCAAGAGGCCAAGATCTCATGTAGCTGGGACCATTGTTAGTAATGACTTATTGCCATTAACTTTTGAAATCTTGAAATTGCTGCCACGGTCCACTAGATAGGGGACCCAGTGGTTAGCCATACGTTCAATTTTTCGGTTCATGTAAGCTCTATGGTCTCAACCACCCCATAATAATGTTTTGATTTCAAGGATTTAAATTAAAATTTTCCCGGGAAAAAACAATATACTCGTCACAAGGGTTGTTGGACTGAAATTTGCCCTGTGAATAGAGGGTGGCAATAGGAACATGCGGGTTCATCATCTAGGCTTTAGCCACCTGGAAGAATCATGGTCTATTAGAGTTCTCCATTAATGATTCAGAGAAACTTTTTTTTTGAATTTTACCAAAAAAATAATTACTTTTAATAAGTAATGACCATCATTCTCTTTGTTAAGATTAATATCGGAAATTGGACACCTTTCAACTTTCTTGTCAGTTTGGAAATTTGCTTGTTTTGTTTCTCTACTAGTGAATGTTTTTACATGCATGACTTTGAAGGTTTATTATACTTTGTACTTTTTGCAGTAAGGCTCCAAGGTTCAGGCGGCCCATGCGATACAGGCCATACTACTGATATTTTATCATCAGTGTGTCATGGCCACAATTGTGACAAAGGCATTTTGGTTTAATGGCTAAGCATGTTGTCTGATGGCTGGCCTGAATTGGCTAAGCATGGTATTCTGGAAAGGGAATCCGTTCATCGAGGAGTGAGAAGATTGTACCATCTTAGGCACATAGACGGCCAATGATTTTGCCAAAAATCTGCCATCATTTGGTTAGTTTCATACATTTTCTACCTTGTAAGTTATGGAACTTGGATTTATGCTATTGACGTACAAGGATTATTTTTCGTGCTGTGAAACAAAAGAGGTTGAAAGATAACGAAGGTGCTTATCGTGTTCAGAATATTTCTAATCCCAGGTTTTTGATTACTTGTTCCCTCTGTGAGTTGTTGCTTTATGTGTGGGATTATTGATGCAATATCCCAGTACTCTCTGTAGCTTCATAACCAAGAATTTGATATTGGAGATTGGCCTTGGAACCTTCCTTGGTGGTATAGGGCTATATCCTGCCAATCTGCCTTGTTATCAGGAGAATGAAAATTGTGCCAATTTACTATTAGTTCATGAGAATGAAGTCACTTTGTGCAGGTTCGACTGTGCCATCAATTCGGTATCTTGGGCTGTCAAGTTTGAGAATGCAGGTTCGACTCTGACCTCTGAGAGTGGTCACCTTGTGCAAAGGAATATACAAGTGTTGTGCCATAGCCAGAACATCTCTGCAAGCAAAAACTCTGTATATACAACGAAAGCAGGGGAATCCTCTGCTGTACGAACATTTTCCCATGAATTCAACATAAATGTACCGCAGATGTTCTCCAATATGTTGATGGATGTTACGTAAGTAGAGTTTTAGCTTGCAGAATATCCAAACTCCCAACATGAATTTGGATTTGCTCCTCCCTCATGGAGTGCACTTCATACTAACCTTACAGGACGTTGCAGCCATTCCTGAAGAATAACGGGCAATACTTGTCTCTTACCCAGTCAGAAGACATGTATGTGATCACATGCATTTTCAGTATTAATTTTAGGGTATAAAGTTAGGGGTTAGGAGTTTTGGCTGCGTTTGAAATTGGTGTAAATTAGGAACGCGTAAAAGTTTATACCGGTTTGATTTTGTTCACATTTGGAAGGAGAGTGTAATTATGATTCGGTTCAGTTTTGCGTACGTTTGGATGGAATGGAGTTCTATGTAAAATTTATCAAACTTAAAGTTTTACATTGATTATCGACGTAGATACTATATCGATTTTATCAATGTAAAATTTTACACTATTCATGCATGGGTTTGGGCTGTGGGTCGTGTTGGGCCAACCTCCAAAATTTTCACTAGGGAGGGTGACACAACCCACTTTATACCTCTAGTCTTCATGGTATTACACCGATGATGTTTTACATTAATTCCAAATGCAGCTTTAGGATTTAAAATTTAGTTTTAGATTTCAGAAGACTGGTGTGGAGGCTTTGGTCCCAACCATGGTAAGAGCCGAGTAAAGCCTCCTAACATACAAGTAAGAGAGTTGTTTGATGTGCAGTTATCCGGACTCCCAAACATTGGATGATGGCCTATAATGACTAATTATTTTGACTTTGTAGTTATTTTATTGGTTTGGTATTCGGTGCCATGCACCGTTAATAACTTTCCCTTACCCCTTCTTCCTTCGAAGTGTTAAGTATGGAATTCGATTTTGCATCAACTCCAGAAAAATCCAGCGAACACACCAACGAGCCGGTCCTCGATTGGTTAGACCAGTGTTGATGCATGGTCAAATGCAGTAAGCTTGTAAGAGTGGAAGTGATGGTTATCATTATCATATCGTACGATAAAGCAATGACCAGTCATTTTGGCAGCCCTTGTTGATGTGGTGTCAACCCCGAAATCGTGGTTTTGAAAATTGGGTTGGGACGGTTGGACTGCTTGACCCTAGAGTTAATCATTGCATATAGCTTTTTCATATTCTCCTTTTTTGGATAAAGTGAAAGAAACTATCAACAGAAACAGGAAACAAACTGTTCAATACACATTTAGTGCTTCTCCACTCCACACTCCATAAAATTAACACCCCTAAACTTCGGCCGCGTTTAGCTAGTCTTTTCGCACGGGCTAAGGGCTGTTTAGAAGCTGGAAGTTTGAATTCTGGGTTTTTTCGTTTGGCAATAGAAATATTTAATCGGGAAAAGCTTCAGCTCATAAAAATGTCACAAGTGGTATGCGGGAGAAAATGGGTTATTTATTTTTCTACAAAAACTATTTAAATGTATAAAAGTAGGACCTACCAGTGGTATGTGGGGCCCACATTAGGTATTATGTGGGACCTACATTGTAAAATATATGTGGGCCTATACATGTCCACACATGGGTCCACATGCATATCCACCAATTGCATGTGGGGTCCACCTTGTAAAATATATGTGGGCCCCACATGCATGTCCACCAACGATGTGTGAGGTTTACCTTGCAAAATGCATGTGGGCCCCCCATACATGTCCACACATGGGCCTTACATACATGTCCACCAATTGCATGTGGGGCCCACATACATGTCCACACATAGACCTGCATGCATGTCCACCAATGGTATGTGGGGCCCCACATACATGTTCACACATGGACCCCACATGCATGGCCACCAATGGTATGTTGGGCTCACCTTGTAAAATGTATGTGGGCCCCACATACATGTCTACCAATGGTATGTGGGTCCCACCTTGCAAAATGTATGTGAATCCACATGTTTAATGAAAAGTTTGTTGGCCCACACACACAAGGCGTTCTCGTTACCAAACGGTTTTCTAGCTTTTATGGTTTTTTGTGAGATATATATAAAATATTTCAAACTCATCCTGTGTTTTAACCATCAGATCTTATAATAGATGTTTTGAAAAAGATCTTTTGAAAAATACTTGCCAAGCAAGCACTTCATCAATGGGCAATGAGCAGCCCTATTAAACTTCCTAGATATAAAACTAAACTTTACAGAACAAAAATAAGAGAGCAGAGTTTGTATTTTATCAATCCAAACAGAAGCTTCCCAAGAAAGCGAAAGAGAGCCTGTACACAAAAGGTCCACATCTGGAAGGATTAACACAGACGTCCATCCATGGTCTTGAAGAAAAAGACATGTTAGTATTAAAGATGCAAAACCCATCACATTTACAAATAACTTGAAACTGATCAAAAGAGGGGTAATTTGGGTTGTTTGTAATTAGCTGCCTATGGATCAAATCCGAATACAAGTCATCGGTAGCATTTAGACCAGACTCTTGAACAAAATGATTAACAAGATTCAACATCATAGAGACAGTAGGCATTTCTGATTAAAAATGACATCATTTCGGGCAGATCAAATAGCTAGTCAGCTTAAAAGTTAAAACCCATGATATTGTTCTTTTGTTGCTGAAAATATTTTGAATGTAATAAATAAAATCACTAACAGAATCAAATTGCCTAATCTCCAAAAAAAAAAAAAAATTAAATTTCGAAGCAATGGGAAGACCCCAGATTTGTTTGATGAGCTTCCTAAGGGGTCCTTCTATTGGCATGTTTATTTCTCTCCCGAGTTGGTCATACTGAACCTTGACCGAAAATTTTCCACTTTTGGTTCCCAACCATAGAAAAACATCTTCAAAGTTAGATATATGAATATGAGTATCCATGATCTGTTGAACTTCAGATGGGGGAAAAGATTGTGACAGTTTTGACACATCCCAAGAGCCAGGCTCCAAAATTGAAGTCTCGAATAGAACACTGGTGATCCTATCTCTTTTGCGGACCCATTCGGGCTTTGAAGCAAGGTTTTCAAAACTGAAATGGACAGGGAATCGTTCTGGGTCCGGTTTCCGAGTTGAACGGTCCAACTGTTTGAATCAAATAGATGACCCATTTTGATAAAAAATAAAAAAGAAAAAAATGGTCAAAAACCGTTGTCTGGGTCAATAGGTCGACGATCAACTGTTCAAGTCAGCAAACAATGATTTTTGGCCAAGAACCAATCAGGTGACCAGTTCCTGATTTTTCCGGTCTGGTCCACTTTTGAAAACATTGCTTTGAAGCCATCATTGACTTTTACAGATCTGAACTCCCCAATTGAGGCAGCAAAGTCCAAAGGGACATGTATATTGATTTCCAAGTAGGAGAAGCCGAGGTGGCAACTCTAGAGGGAATAAGTTCATTTCTATGAAGGTATTTATGTCTTTATAATCCTCACCCAAAGAGCCTTAGACTCCCTGAGGAATCTCCAACCCAATTTACAAAGTAAAGCCTTATTCAATAGATCAATCCTCTTAAAACCTAATCCTCTATCTTCTCTTGAGGCAACTAATATCTTATTCCAACCAGCCCACTTCAAGCATTTAACTTCTTTTGAGCCCCTTCCACCAAAAATCACGCTGAATTTTTTCAATCTCCTTTAGGATTCTCGAGGGAAACCGAGTCACACTCATTCAATACATTGTAAATTTAGTAATAGACTATAGAGTTGACTGAACAAAGACTCTCCCACCAGCATACAAAAAGACAAGAGGCTTTCCAATTGGCTAAGTTACTTCCCAATTTACCCAACACAAAATTCAAAGACTCAATATTCTCTCTCTCAAAAAGAGAGGAGATTGAAAACAATTTGAGACCAGATGAGTGGATCACTTGATTCGAGAACCGGTGGTCAAAAGTGGTTCTGTTTCTGAATCAGTTTTTAAAACCATGACCATAATAAAACTGCTTGAACATGTGTCTATTTGTGCACACAGGTCTAATTGAATTCCACTATTTCTCTATTTTTTTTTAATTTATTAGTCATCCCTTCATCATTCAATTGCAATTCATGTCTATTACATTACACATGTTCATAATTTAAAGATATGATATTAAAAAACTTCTGACCAATCAATTAGAATCATAAATGTGGTAGCCAATTAGATTATTTATCAAAATTCATGGGTGGGTTTTGATTGGTCAAAACTCTTCCCATACCATATCTTTTCCACATCATAGATTATCCCTGATTTAAATTATCAATCCATGTAATTCTAATATTGGTTTTGGAAGCTACCGGCATCATAAGGGGTCGAACCTAGTCCATTGACACTTGAACTCTTATTTTAATGGACTAGACATTGGTTCAACCCTTCCCAGTTCAATATAAATCCATTACAAATGAGCATATCCAATCCAATAAATATTTTGGACCATTAAGTCTAAACTGGTCGAATTCAATTGATTTTATTGGTTTGTTCAACCCGTTCAAATTGATTTTGATTTAGATGGGGTCCAACCCAAACCTCATCTATTGAGAATTTAACAGCCGCTAACTAAACTTCAATTCTTGCTTTCCTTTACATTGCGTACATTAGTCATGCACTCTCTATTGAGGATGTTTCAAGTCTCTAATGGCACTCTCTTTTACATTCGTGCATTAGTCATGCACGCAGTGTAACAGTGATTGTGGGAAATCCAGATGCTCCCCATGGATGGCTGAAAGGGCTGTGGGAATGGTGTGAGGATAGATTTGGTGAGGATGAAACCCATATTCGATTGTTGGGTGTATACACTTGATGACCAACATGAGAATCAATTGGTTAAAACAGCCCCTAGCACAGTCTTCAAGTGTTGCTCATTCGGACTTAGAAAAATATGGGTTCAAATGTTTTATAAAATAGGGATTGGAGAGTTCAGCATGCTTTACAAATAAATGCAAAGTATATATATAAGCAAATATAATCATATTTTTTACATTTTATCCTTAAGGCTGTGTTTGGTTGCAATGATGCAAAACTATGGCAGTGCAAATGATTTGAGTGTAAATTCTGACATATTTTTGTTTTGATTTTAGCTTATTTTGTTTGATTACAGTACAAATGAAATAAATTAAGACATAAAATAGAATTACAGTAAAATCCAAAACAAAATTAAACAAGAATTTGCATTTTTTACTTTTGCACTCTCATGCATTTATACACTACAACCAAACACAGCCTAAATGATTCTACATCTAATGCATTTTCAGTCAAAATTTGGAAATATGTATAAAATACACACGGCACGGCAGAAGCGTATTTACTGATTATGAGCAAAATTGGCGCAATTTAATAAAGGAAAACGGAATAGACAAGAATGTACTTAGAAGATTACTTCATCAGTAAATTCAATCCATATTTGTTTGGGAAATAGAAAAAAAATGGGATTTAGCATTTGGTTTGGTTAAAAATGGAAGATGAGATCACAGTCCAAAGATCATTGTAATCTTAACAAAAAAAAAAAAGTCAACAAATGAATGATGAAGTAATTAGAATTAAAATTGTTGAATAGATAGATAAGTACTTTTTTATGGTATTTTGAAAGCCAAACAGATCAGTACTAATTCATGGCATGGCAGAACTGAACATTCTATTTGATAACATAAAGTAAGAATAAAGACTAATTGGATTGGATTGGAAAGAAAAAAGATTAAAGTAGAAAGGATGAAGAAAGTCAATATAAAGCATATGACAGCAATTTCCATTGCTTTGGCTTCTTGCTTGAAAGGAAAGAAAAAATCCTGCTGTGGACAAGGAAAAGGAAAGGTCTTTGTCTGCAATGTAATGTCTCCGGCTGCTCTTTCCAATCCAAAAGCCACCTTAGTCGACCGAAACACTGCAGAAGTTGGCCTCTCGGTCATCCATTAATCAAAGCCCAAGTCCCCCACCAAACACGTATTCACGTATAGTCAGGCGCCACCCAAGACCAAGGTGGAGAGGGGGAACGACTCATCAGAGACACTGGAGCCTGGAGGAGAGAGGAGAGAGGAGAGAGGAGAGAGAAAGTAGAGAGA